ATAAGAGACAGTATATATACACATATATATATACACACATATATATTAATATACACATATATAGAACTTAAGAACTTAATAATAAAACCAAATAAGAATAAAAGTACATTACAGAATAAGTGTGTGGAAGGAGGCCAAAATAAGTTTAGAATGGAACTTTAAGCCATGGCCACCAGTTAATAAAAAAAATAAAAATATATATATATACATATATATATATACACAGATTATCAACAACTTTTTTTGTGATAAAATTCCAAAGTTCATAAAGCAGGGCCAGCAGAACGTTTTTCAAAGTGGGTGAGGGCGGCCCACTTATAAGATGAATGGGAATATGAATCATGCAGATCTGGAGTCAAACCTAGGGGGTGGGGTCAACATTTTCCCGAAAAATGAAAGGGGATCCGGTGGTCCTCCCCTCCGGAAAATTTTGTTTTCTTGATGGCGGGAAATGACCTTTTTCGACTTTTGAGCTAGGTGTCTAATGACATTGTTCTTCAAAATTCAAGGTTTTCCCCTCTTGAAAACGGTCAGGTAAACATTCTCATTGTTATTACAGTAAATAGGCCTGTTATGTGTGTATACATACATTTAAAAAAAAGAGTAGCTGCATACATATTCTTTTTTCAATGAATTAATAAGCTGCAAAGGCAGGAAATGAGCTTTACCGACTTCTGAGGTGTCTTAATTACTTTTAAGTTATTCAAAATGCAAGATTCCCCCATCATGAAAACGATCAGGTAAGTTTTTCCCATTGTTATTACAGGAAATAGGCCTTTGTGTGTATACATACATATAAAAAAATGAGTAGTTGCATATGTATTCTCTTTTCAATGAATCGATAAGCTCCTAAGAAAAGCGGGGTCTGGTGGTTCTCCCCCGGGAAAATTTTGATTACGATTTTTTTTTCATGAATCGATAAATCCCAAAAAGAAAGGGGGTCCGGGAAAATTTTGATTCTTAGAAGGCGGGAAATGAGCTTTCCCGACTTCTGAGGTGTCTTTTAATTACTTTTAATTTCTTCAGAATTCAAGGTTTTCCCCTCTTAAAAATTATTATGATGAATCAATGAACCCAAAGACAAAAGCGAGGTTCAGGTTCTCCCCGGGAAAATGTTGATTTCTAAATGGTGGTAAATGAGCTTTCCCAACTTCTGAAGTATCTTTTAGTGACTTTAATTTAAGTTCTTTAAATTCAAGGTTTTCTCTCTTGAAAACGGTCAGGTAAATTTTTCCACTATTACAGTAAATAGGCCTTTTATGTGTATACATACATAAAAAAAATTGAGTAATTGCATACGATTTTTTTTTCATGAATCGATAAATCCCAAAAACAAAGGGGGTCCGGGAAAATTTTGATTCCTAGAAGGCGGGAAATGAGCTTTCCCGACTTCTGAGGTGTCTTTTAATTTCTTCAACAAATTTGGCTAAAACATTCTTAAATTAAACATGATGAATAAAAATGTATAGCTGCATTAGTCTGAAACAGTATAGAACAATATAAAATAAATGACAGCAGCACTTTTGAGACTAAGAATATAGAATTTATTCTCTAGCTTTCGTCCATAATTAGACTGTATAGAACTAT